CAGAATTAGACTGGCTACAATACTGCTGTTGGAAACAAGATTGATAAGACTGATGAGACTGAACCAAAACAGCTGTGGATCAGAAAACCAAAACAATGAGCTGTAAGACCCTAAAACATTTCATAGAGCTGAGGGGAAGTGCAGAGTTGGTTATAGGCTCGTCATTGAGATCAACCCTGATCACATAACATGTAGTTATTTGACCCATTGTTCATATAAAAATATGGATAATTGCTGCTTATGCTTAAAAGGCAAGTTGAGCCTTTTTGAATACATTTAAATACAAGTGTATGTTAAAGGTAAGATTCTGGAGAAATCCAATACCAGTGTCAAATACCATGAGATGCAGAGAACAAAGTAACTAACATTAGCTAAGTTGTGGGTTAGCAAAATGTAGCTACTGTAGCTGCTGCAAAGCTAACATGAAGAGGACTAGAGAGTCCAATAGCCAGCACAGCAGCTCCAGACAGTGATACTCACAACTCCCCTGCTGCTATAGCTAACATCACAATATTGTATGATAAAAAAATTAGTTTCTTCAGTCATTCTTTGGGGTGATTGAAGTTCTATATCACTGCTACCAAACAAAAAACCTGTTAAGCCCAGTATGATTCTTTAGTATTTCTTCAGTGATTCTTTGTATAGTTGAGGTGCTATATAGCACCTGTAAAGATAGGTGCTTTATAGCACCGAAACTGGTTCCCCTATGATTACGAGCCAATGAACCACTTTTAGTGCTGTTTAGCACCATTTTTGTTTAGTGTGATACACACAAATCATAACTGGAATAGTCTAATTTACAGAGCCACTGGTACGTACAAAGACTGGATTTTTTCAGCGGACCTTGAGGAGATATTCACAGAATTTGACAAAAAGACATGCACTGTATTAGAATCGCTTACCCCACGTTTAGGCAGCCACTTGGCTTTAGGTGTTGGCCGTGGCGGTGTCTGCTTGGTTTGGGCCATTTGCATGGACTGAGAAGACCTTTTACCCCTTCAAATTATGTTTTATCAATGTGAAATCTCTGACCACCACTGCAGTCTCATATCTCTCCTACTCTCCTAACTAACCCCCCACACACCTCACCCACCTTCTCATTAGTGATCCCCGCCAACCCTCCAACAACACAGACTTCCTCTGCCTGGTATTAATGAGAGAAGTGAGGATTCCTAATAAGCAGTTTTTCTTTTAATTAAAAAGTCTCCATAAATAATCACCTCATAATCCATCTGTCAGATTCCATCCAGCTCCTACTTATTTAGACTCCACAATTAGCGAGCGGGGCAGAAGATAAGCCATGGAGGAAATATCTATCTATCTATCTATCTATCTATCTATCTATCTATCTATCTATCTATCTATCTATCTATCTATCTATCTATCTATCTCTAAACCATCTATCCATATCCATCCCCCTCCGTAGTTTGTCTCTCTGCAGCTGAGAAGAATATGCTAATAACGTTAGCGTGTGTTAATAATTGATGGTCATATAAGACTTGGCTCTGCTTTGCTGATTCGGCAGTATTAGTGAAGGCGCTGGCCACGCTAAATGATTTATCGTGGCCAATATTCTTCCTGGAGGGATTTTGAATGTCTAATAAGGAAATATTCCTCCTGTGCCAGTGTGTATTTATCAAATAGTAAGCTGTTTTCTGATAGGCCCAGCAGGTCTCTTGGTTTCCACTGCAGAGATAAAATACTGTTACAGTCACTGCTTACTCAATATTCCTGGGACTCAATTTCCTTTAAAACCAATTTTCAGTGATCCCTTTTGCATGTTTTTTGCAACAGAGAACATTTACCAGCTGCTGAGCTTTTGTTTTAACCAGAGAAATCATCACTGTAATCATTTTTAGCTGAATGTGGCACTGTCCAGTAACCTAGTACCATCCCCGATTACATTTTCAAGACATAATTACATTATTCATGATCTCAGATATACATAAAAGCCCAAAAATCGAAAATGGAGTGGGCAAAAAGCTTTGAGCCTGAAAAAAGATGCATCTAACTAATAAGCTGTCGCTCCACAAGGCCCTGCTCTGGGAAAGTGGCTAATGTGGTGTTTGACTGTGAAGACAAGTTCTCCTGTTGAACAATGAGCAGGTGCAATGTGTGTGTGTGTGTGTGTATCTGTGTGTATTCTCAGGACAGGTTCTCCATTCTTCATCCCGTCAAAGCACACCAGCATGCAGGTGTGTGGTGGAATGTGTATGTTTAACACTGTTACTGTAAGTAACGCCTCGGGTCGGCTGTGTTTGTTCACATGGGAGGGAGGGATCGAGAGAGAAGGAGAGAGAGAGCACAATGATAGATAAAGTCACACTCTGAAAAGAAAGTATGACTATGCGAGTCATCATTTTCCCATTGCCTGCCACCGCGCCGCATTCTGCATGTTTATGATAAGCTTGTTTGCACAGAGAACAAAGGCATGTGATATTTAATGATCATGAAAAGAAATGTTTGGTCAGCTACGGCACCAAGAGTCCCTCCTCTGTGTTGTTCCATCACATAAAAACAAACTGTGTTTGCCAAAGGGGAAGTCCAAAAGAGCGTTTGACACCAACACATGAAACACAGTTTCACCTTAGTCACATTAGGTACAGAGTAAAGCTAGTGACACCTTACTTTGTTGACATGTGGATTAACTGATACTATAGCATAGGTTGAAAATAAACTAGCCCGAAACAGTGGTTGACATAGGAAAGTGATGGATGTCGTGAGCAGGATCTTGCCTACTACAATGAATAGTTTAATCTGTAGAATAAACTCCACCCATCTGCTCATTTACCCATTATGTAAAAATTATGTAACAATCTGTATATGACTGAAAGTTTTAAAGACTTATGCCAATGAACAGTTTATTTTTTTAAAGGGAGACCATTGATTTTACACATAAAAGTTAGTTTACTAGTCATGGGAAGTCCTACTCACTCTGTTGTATGATAGCTCTTTGTCAAGCCTGAGATGATAACCCAGAGGATGTCACTGTAACAATATGTCGTGGAGTTTAGAAGCTGTGGAAAATGAACATCATGCTGTATAGAAGAAGACTTAAAACTAGCAATTGAGGCCATAAACACATTTAAAAAAGTGTTAAATGAGGTAATAAATCAAGTAATAAGTAGGGTCATTTTTTCATAGACTTCTATACAATCTGACTTCTTCTAGCAACCACTGGAGTCGTACCCTAGTCGTTAGGAAGAATGTAGGTTTAAGGCACTTCCACATTGGCTTCACATTTCATTTCTGCTACTATAAGTATTGCTGCTGCTACTGCCACTACCACTGTGCCAAATATCAAATCATTTTCTTTCAGATGTATTTTAGTCTAAGTCAAACCTGCCTGAAGTCTAACTGACTATTCTTTGTATGTGTGTTGTGGTAAAACCTGCTTGTTCTGCTCTGCCAGAACTTCTCAGCTTGTAATAACAGCACGACATGTCCACTTCTCAAGCTTCACTGTAGGCTATGTTGATTGAAACAAAGCTGTGTTACAGTGGATGAAACCCTGCACTAGCTACACTACGCTCATTTCCACATTCCCACCTCTCACATTGCGCCACATATAAATAAGCTGGGTTACACCCTAGGCCACACACAGTGTAAATGTCCTTATTCAGTTTTCAACACTCTCAGTACTGTTAAATTCAACAGTGCCTAACATTTACTCTGGTAACATATTTACATATCTATCGGCACACATTTGCTTTTAAATGCACATATATGCAGATACACACACACACGCTCACACACAGTGTATGACCAAGGTTACAGAGTCATGCCGGGCCCTCCCTCCACTCACACCTGTTCATCTCATCCTGACCGCACCCCAACCTGCCCCAACTCAGCACCAGTCTACGAGCTGACTGACAGGAGCTCCATCTGTGACCTCTAAAGGTCACAACACTGTACACGGTCAACTTTTTACAGCAGCTCAGGTTACCTTCGTCAGGGAAGAACAACATCGGTAGACACTGAAAAGCATGTTAGGTAGGTGTTGCTTGTTTTTTTGAGAAATTGCTTACCCACATGGTTAATCTTTTCCATGTGTCTGTGTCTTTTTATGGTATTGTAGGCCGTTCTTATACATCTCAATCCTGCTTCACACTCATGCTGCAAAAACACTTGATCTTGTCTAATCATTCTGACTATTATTGGGCTCTTTATTTCTTACTGTAAAATAAGTGAAAAAAAAGTTATTCAACTTTTTTCCAATTCAAATGAACTTGACAAAAAGTTTTTTCTAAAAACACTAGCTAGTGGTAAGGTGGTGGTGCCGATCGTTAGAAAGAAGAAGTTAATGTCAGAGATGGCTAGGGTGCTGTCAGAATAAAGGTCTTTGACAACCTATATAAGAGGGATTTATCGTGTTCAGAGATGTGTGTAGCAGTATAGGATATTTTAGTTGTTTGAGGTTTGTCTAAGCAGAAAGGGTCACTTGTGAGACTTTATGATATCATATCTATCAAGCAAAATGTGAAAAAATAGGACACAGAAAAATGTAAGAAATACAGTCTTTATTTTCTGATCATTTAGGCATGTAAAGTATTTATGATATATAAAGTCGCACAATAACATGAACAGAAAAATCGAGGCAGAAGTAGACCAGCAACTGCCGTGTTCTGCGAGTTAAAATGACTGTATTTAATAATGGACTGGTGGCTTTGATGAGAGCGCTATAGTGACTGTTCCTGGTTAAACAAAAAGGATCTTGCTGTTTAAAAAATGGTTGCTAGTTTCAAAAAACACAAGATACGCAGATTTACGCTCTAGAATCAAGACAAAATACACATTTCCAGAAAATTCTTGAAAAAAGTAGTTTTTTATTGAGAGCCTGTTGAAAGCATTTCACTGCACTGGCAGATTTCATCACTTAGGAAAACAAGTCTATATTTGGGACTCAATAGCTGACTAAAATGATCCCATAAGATGTTTCCTTACGTTCACACCTGCCCGGGCACAGCTTCAGCTTTCTGCAGAAACTGAGGTCATATTGAAGGTGTCTCCATTCAGCTGGTTTGGAGATTTGAACCAACAGCCTCCTAATAACTAAATGTTATAACACATGTCTCACTGGCTGTTGAAGAGTGATTCACTTGACAATCATGAACCAATAAGGAGAAACCCAACCCCTCATTAGATCTCTGATACCCATATTAGGCGTTAACAGTGCTTGAGCAGAAGAGGCCCCACTTTAATCCTATGGCGTTACAAATGGTATTATTGAAGTGTGTGCACAGTTGCATCAATATTCATCTCTCCGAAGACTATCGGTTTCAAAGTTGAATAATGACATGTAACAATAGCTTTTGCGAAAATATGCAAATACCTTCTGTTTCCCTTTCGGATTATGTTAATTCATATCCAGTAACCTGGTATCTGCAGTGTGCATAATATACCAAACTCTGTCCTACAATATGTCCTGTGGGCATGATATGGGAGGAGGCGTTATGGATGTGAATGCAAATACAACGGCTGCTGTAAAAACAAAGTAGGGATTATGATGGGAAGAAAATAAACCTCGCCTGGACACACAAGAATAAAAGAAGGGTCCTTTTACTGAGAAGAATCTGCACAAAGGCCCTGTTTAAACACCGGTTGGCAAGCTGATTTTAAGGTCAGGATTGAGAAAATATCTCATATTGGGATGTTCTATTCAGCGCTTGAAAGGTTGTACAACATCATACCCTACATCTGGTTTTCAGACAGATTAAGTATAAAATACAAACTGATCCCTGATCTTTTCAGAAAAATCAATTTCCTATCTGCAGTGTGAACTAGGCCAGGGAGAGAAAAAAAAGTCATGACTAAGGGATATCACAGCAAGGGCCATTTCAGTTCGCTACAGTAAAACTTAATCAAACAAATATAGCTGTACTATAAACCAGTGGGATGTTTATTTGTATTGAGATGAAAAGCCATTTCCCATCCAGATCCAGTCAATATTACATTCACTGTGTTGTCTTTCCACGCCTGGCCAAAGGGAAATGCAGGGAGGCATTTTGGACAAGAGTTCAGGAGAAAGCGCTTGATGTATTTCACACCAGCGTGAAGTAAAACTCAAATCTTTGTAGAAGTTTGTAAAAAAAAAAAAAAAAAAAAAGGCATGTGTGCAAGCTGATGTAATGTACATGATAATTCAATGAGCAGCAATGAAACAGAAACGTTAAGCCTCGAGCTGCCAATGCACAAAGAAATTCCATTCTTGTACACAGCTCCATTTTCGCATTTAAACCTGCTCTTTCATGCCGCCTCCATAATGTGGAAAGATTGAATACAAGACTAGAAAAAGAGAGCGGCGTGCTGAACAGGCCCACTGGACCCAGCGATTACCAGGTTCTGAACAGCAACCACAGCGCCTGGAGTCCCTCCTCTGATCCGAGCGCCGTACACGCGGGACCAGCCGCTCGCTAATAGAGACATTTACACCTTAGTAAAAGTTGGCAGGTGTTACCCCGCCGTTGTCGAGAGCAGACGCATGCCGGGCATCATTAGGCCCCGTGCCAAGCCTGCTTTGGCTGCCAAAGTCATGAGTGTTTGTGTGTGTGTGTGTGTTTTTGTGTGCATGTGCATGTGTGTTTCAGCAGAGCAGCGGAGGAAAGTGTCCTCTGCTGTAGTGGCATGCGAAGAAAGGCTCCTTACTGCAATGGAGAATGGTGTTACATTACTGCTCATCATGCCACATGTGTCTGTTCTGGATTGTTGGTCTGTAAGTGGAGCGGGAGGAGCAAGGGATTAAGAGGTAATGGCATCTGCATGAATACATGCATTTTTAAAAAATTATCGGAAAACATTCCCGAGATTGATAATATGTTTGACATTTAGTGTGCTTAACCGTTCATTCCTTTCTCCTTTAACGTGCTAATTTTCCTCTTCTTCTTCTACAATGCCTGCAAATGGAACTATTTGAAATGTATGACACTGTTAAAGTTAGGGAAATAATAAACAATGGTTATGTTTTAACATCAACACTTGGTTAAGGTAGGTAACATTTCTAAAAAGGGAAAATGAACTGTGACGGGACTTTGGGATCCCATATGAAAGTCAGATGGCCTACACACCCATCCACCAACCCAACCTCCACACACTCCACCTGAGCGCACTACTCTTACACTGGCACCGCACGTTGGATTTGAATGAGTGGCAGAGTTGTTCAGTACAAATTTAATTCCAAGGGATACTGGGCTGGAATCTCACACTTTCTGGATTAGAAAAACTGCCAGTGAAAGTAATTCTAGGCACCAATTACAAAATGTTGGCAAAGCAAATTAGTTGTATATAAACATATTTGAGGAGGTTGAAATTTCAGATACATTTGACTATTAATTGTGTTTAAATTATGTACAATTCAGCTTCAGTAAACTTGAACTGAAATGTATGAACAACTAATCTCCCATACTCCTTCCACATCCTGAGTCTTTTTCCTCCAGTTGCTCAGGGAAAGCAGGCAGAAAACTTAATCTCTCGCTATCGTTCCTTCATGGCTAACTAAACACATTGTCTTTTCTGCACACTTTCATTTTAGTTCTATTCCCCTCTGCGTTGTTTCTGTTCATTAACCATGACTCTTGTCTTGATTCCTACCAGGCCACAGTGCTTTGATGAGATTGATTTTTATCAGCTGATCAGTAGTAGTAGACACCCCCTATTACACTCTGCAGTCTGAGATCTGCGGCTGATATATCTGCATTTCATCACACACACAGACTGCACATACTCTGAGTAATGAAGTGTTAGTGCTGCAGTCACCCTCCGCCATTTACATACAGAATACATTACAGAAAGGTTTATATTATGGCTCCCATAGTTCGCAGTGAGATTCAATAAATTCTCCATCCGCAGAGTCGGCCTCCTTAGACAGAGCGAGAAACAAGAGAACGAACTAAAACATGAAGGCATGGGAGGAGGGGAAATGGAGGAGGGGAAATGATGTCGCGTCGCAGAGATACAGCTAGGTCTCCTCCGCTCAAAGAGTGGGATGTAAATTGTCTGCAAGCAGAAAAGCCATTAATAATAATAATGGCAATAATAATTTAGAAGCAGGGGATACACACATTTAGCCAGGCAATCAGAAATCCATCTGTGGAGGTGTTAATATTGAAGAGATGCTGATGCACAAAAAAAAAGCATCAGCATCTGAATATGTAATGACAACCGGGAGGCCATAACAAACACTGCTTTTATGTAGAGTATTACTTATTAAAATTGCATCTTAAATATTTATCACTTTATGGATGGCCCCTGTCACTGTTTCCTTATTTGTCTCCCTGAAGATTACTGTCTGCAGTGAAGGGAATGCATAAACTCCATTCAGATTATTACAACCCCCCTTTTCTTCAGAAATGGCCTGATTAAAATCAACTGCCACAGTAGATTGTGATGAATTATGCAGACTTCGGTAAGGAAATGAAGCAAAAGGCGGTAGTTCGTTTAAAAATTCAAGCTTGGACTTCTTAGGTAGATGTTAAAGTGCTGGAGAACGCTGCATACTGATAGTTATTAGCAGTATGAAGCATTGTTTTACTGGTGAAATGTTTGCACGTACAGATGTATGGCTGTTGCGTTTGTGGTTTGTCTCTGTCAACAGTGTAGAGCGAAGCAGTTGGAATTCGCGGCAGAGAAGTTTCTGCAACAAACGATCATTTATCTCCATGGTACTTTTTCATCAAGTCATAAACAAAATGAATACCTGCTTTCAGCTTACGTTCTGAGGGAGATGAATCAGCACTGGAAAGGTTAGGTATTCAAAAACGGTAGCACAATGATATATCATCGTTACGTGCTGTAAATGAGATAAAGTATTCAAGAAAACTTGAGAAAGTATAAGAAATATAACTGCTACGATTAATCTTGTCTCCACGGCGCTTGTACAGGGACTGCGCGGAGAGCTGTGGTCTCTACAAAGAGATGGCTTCAGCACAACACAATGTTGACATTATTGCATCTGGCAATGAAAATCAGACTCTATTTTGATGAATGTGACATCAGAGAAATCACGCTAAAATAGTTTGGGAGTTGTTAAATAAAAAAATGACGAGGGAAAAAAATCCATGACTTGCACCTATAAGCGAAAGTCCAGTTCACTCCTGGAGGTGGCCAATCAGATTTCAGATGATAGTGATACAGTGACGTTTTGCTGATACACTTGGCTGATATTAACAATGTTTCTTTGTTATAAATTATATTGATAATGAGCATAATTTAGGTGGTATTGCATTCCTTATGACACTTTTTGCAAATTATTAGTAAATAAACATAATTTCTAGGAAACACAGTTGAAACCGTTCATAAGATGTTAAATTAAAAACAAGGAGGCAAAAAAAATGATGTGAGTTACCTTTATAATTATACATATAAGACAGCCACTGTGGGCGTACATTAAGAATTAGGAGGTTGTCATGACTGGATTTGCTTTTTGTTTGAAATTTGTCTGTCTCTTGGCAGGAAGAGACAGAGAGGAAACATGGGAAGAGAAAAGGGGGTTACATGCAACAAAGGCCCTCTGCCAGATTCAAACCGGGGACATCGCAATTAAATCTTAACCACTGGGAAATCAGGCCCTGAGAAAATATCTTTTGATCAGAAAACAACTGTGCACGCAGCTTGATGCAGTCAGTATTCATGATCCTGGTCTAAGGACAGAGGGTGTTGTATGCTGTACAGATTGTAAAAACCCCTGAGGCAAATGCGTGACTTTTGATATTGGGCTATTTAAAAAGCTGGCTTCACTTGAATTCTAATTGTTTATGTGAGTGTTAAGAATGATTTGAAATAAAACAAAACTATGTGTTATACAGTGTAAATGTATTACTTCACCTTTATTCACCTACTACAGCATCACAAAATTCAAATGAAAAGGTCTATAATCCCCCATAAAAAAAAGAGCATGCAGGCAAAAATACAATTTGGAAAAACAATGGAGAAAAAAAAAAGCAAAAAACACATTATTTTTTCCATTGCAGAGACTCTGGAAGACTACAGATGTACAGAGTCTTGGCAAAAGACTTGGAGGACTTTTCAACACATGGTGTGAAGCAGTATTAGAGTTTCTGGAGGGTGGTTGGAATAATATCACAAGTTTGAGATTCAAGGACCCTGTTGAACCCAGCAACAAAACACAGCGCAGTGAACCCTCTAAGCTTCAATAAATTGAATTCCAAGAAGCAGCAGAGCTCCTTTATTTCACAGGTAGGGCCTATTTTTCAAAACTCTGTGTTTCTTTTTTCCATTTCTGTGTTTTGATCAGGCTATAATATCATGCGACAGGGATGACTGCTCCTGTCTCCTCTCTCTCCTCCTCTCCTCTCTCCGTCTCTGTCCTGTCTAAATAAAGGAACACAGAGGAAGAGGTTTTAATGAGATCAACACAGAGCGCCGGTTACATTGATAAGTAAATACTACAGCTTTAAATGCTTCTCGCACTCAATTGGCTCCCTGCTATTGTTGCAGAGCGTACGCCTCAGTGAACACTAAATTTTCACTGTCACACTTCAATAACCCTAATTGTCCAAAATAAATGAGCTAATTTCTGAAGTTCCATTTTCATGTGCAGGAGATAAGGCAACTTTGCTGATTGATTGGATTCCTTTGTGTGTGTGTGTGTGTGTGTGTGTGTGTGTGTGTGTATTTGTATGAAACTGCAGCACTCATAATTTGAGTGAAGGCTTCTGTTTATTATGCCTCTGTTATTCATTGCAAGCATTTCTCTGACCCCTGCTGATATTCATCCGGCTTCTTCTCCCCATATCAAGAAAGAGAGAAGGAGAGAGAGAGAGAGAATAGATGGATGGAAAAAGGGTAAGTTAAAGAGGGAGAGAAATAGCAGTGCATGAGACAGAGTTTCTATGTGTGGTTGTGTGCGTGTGTGTCTAAGGGGTCCCTATGGATTTGGTGCTGGATCTAGTCTGATCATTTGCATTTTTTCATTTGAGCTGTTATTTGCAGCATTGCGTGCAGCACAAACCCCTAAGGGGCCGTCGAGTAATTCAGTAAAAAGGCAGGTAAGACATAAATTAATCATAAGACGTCTGAGAATTATTGCACACACACATACACACACGTTCATGCACGTGCACAGATGTAAACAGACATATATGCATAAATAAGAACACACAAGCAACGGCACATACAAATCGGAAGAGAGAGCGCACACACATGCACATGCAGAATACACCCACACACACATCACTGAGACTCAGATTGAATCTGAAAGGAGAACAAGGTCGAGTGAGAAAGTTTTCAACTCCATCAAGCAGAATTACCAAGCTGGATGGAGAGGAGTAACTTTTAATGGACCAATGTTTTAATACAAAAACTTTTTCAAACTCAAACACGACTTGCATAGTAATGTAATAATTCACTTCTCAGTAATGTACATTGGATTAATTAGAAGGAAAACAGTAACTCATTTATTTCTGTAGCTGTAAGTCAAGTAAAATGGGAGGATATAAGAATATAGTTATAGCAGAACCATCTGTAGTAGCCCCTTTATTACAACACATGATCAATTAGCCCTTGTTAAACATTAGACAATATGTCAAGGAAACAAATACTGCAACATCATGTGGAAGAATAAATATGACATCTGATCCCATCATCTGTCTTGTTGAATTTAAACAAATCACTCTGTGAAAGCATCCAAAGTGCTTTGTCATATACCAAAACAATACAATTATCCCATTTTGAGACTTTGGTTTAGAAAAGAAATTTCTATATACGAATGAGTGCCAAAGCAATTGGAAGCTTTGCTAGCAACTCTGTGAGGCTGTACTTTGGCACAGCGTTGTTTTGAGCTTTTCTAAATAAATGTGAGCATGCTCACAATGACAATGCTAACATACTGATGTTTAGCAGCGTCATGTTTACAAAGTACAGCTGAGGCTGGTGGGAAGTCATGAATGAGAATGGTGGTATTGGACAAATTTTGACTTAATTATTGCGCTAAATGAAAAGTGAGGGGATGACTGAAGTGATTACAATTAATCCCAAGGGGAACATCTAAGTTTCATGACAATTCATCCGATGGATCCAACTCAAAGTCATAAATGTCAACCTCATGGTCGGGTCAGAGAAAAATTCCGGGGATAGCTAAAGCCAGTAGGATTCATCCTCAGGAATGTCTATACAAAACATCATGGCGTTCCATACAATAGTTGTCGAGACATTTCAGTCTGGACCTACTGGACCACATTACCATCTGTACAGCTTCACCCCTAGCATGCCTACAAATTAGCTAGATTGCTTCATGGTGCAAAAGGATAGTGATTTATGGCACAAATCGGGAAAATACTGTTCTCACAGCAGATGAAAAAGGTTGATTTTAAAAAAGGCTTCCACCATATTTCAAATATGGACATGTCACAACAATGCAGTTAGTAGTACGTTTGCCCGTTACATGGAGAAACCTTGGGAAATAATCAGGATAAATAGAATAAACACGCAAGTATATGTTACATGAAATCATGTAGATGTTGTTTTCTTTTATATATTTAAATGTGGTACCAGAAGATTTGTCATATTGTTATACTTCTATATATTTGATACACGTTTGTTATATGATTTGGAAATAAAAACTAACTTATAAACTATATAGTTTAAACAGGAAAATTTAACATAAGAATGACAATGAAAAGTGATTTTTGAGAAATTCAATTTGCTATTAGCAACAATAATACAATTGAAATAACATGAAGACATCATCTCAACTATAGTCTCATCTGTTTATGGTTATTGTGTTCATTCAGGATTCTGGTAAAATTTAAGCTCACAACACAGACTTACATTGTCGTATTTCATAAGTTCACCCATCCAGCCCAACCCAACACCTTTACTGTGCACCTTCAGTGTTCAGCTGCTGTATGTGAAGGTGAAGCAGAGAGTTTCGAGTTCTTATTTCACCTCTAACTCTTGTTTTATTTGATGACACACTGCATGTGACCTATTGTGACCCAAAGAAAGCAGCTTTGAATCATCTTCTTTCTTTTATGCTGTAGCATTCAGCTGCAGCCCCATGTCTTAGAATTCAGCCTGGAGCTGAGCTGTATTATTATTATTAGTATTATTTCACATCTCCAACCATTTACAACACAAATGCAGGCAGTGAATTTTTTTTTTTTTCTGCTTTAAATCCACCATAGCCCTCTGCACTCTCCTACCGCACTTATCAGTGCCTTTGTTCCTGAATTCAGCAGTCTGAGGCAGATTGGCCCATCAATACACTATCAGAGAAGGTAGGCTAGATAAGAATTCTGCTGCTATCTGTCTGCTGTGAATAAGCTGTCTAGAGGTCTCCACCGTCCAGGTCAACGCACATACGCTAACACATATATAGTGTGCCTGCACACACACAGACCCACTGAATACGCTGTCTAGAGCCTCTACAGTGTAATCTAGCAGATGCACAGACACAGCGTTATCAGTAAGAGAAGAAGGATTCCATGCAGCAAGGGAAGATATTACTACATCTAGTGTATCTCACCTCCGACATAATGTTACTCTAATGGTTAAACTTTGGCTAAAAAAAAGTTGTCTTCAAGTAAGGCAGTGAACAGGATGAAAAATGCACCATCCTGCTTTAAATTAAACTAAACTACACTGTAAAATCTCACAATCAACTGACGCTTTGTCAATATCATGTTAGGTCAACTTGGGCACAGGCACCTTTTTCCGGGAAATTTTGCCTAAAATAACATACGCAAAATGAATCAGGAAGAACTCCTCAACCATTTGGCTTAGATGCATAATTCTGGTCTCCTTTGAAAAGTCAGAAGCTAAGGAATATAAATCCATTGTATATTAATATATTTACTTTACCATTACAGACTACATGGAGATGCAATAAAGAAAAAATATGATAATTTCATCCTCGCCTGGTAAAAAATGCTGTATTTTAATGCAATAAACCATAAATCCAATTGTAACTGTAAAATCTGATGAGGAATAAACTAAAATACAACAGTTATCATAAAACAATCAAAAATATACCAGGCGAATCTCCATATTTTGGCAATATTTACTGTTAAAATGGTAACTTTTATTGGTAGATATCTTTAAAACATTTTTTCTGTCCATACAACCACATTCCAAATAACAGAAAGCTTCCAAAACATTGAAATATTGATAAAAACAGTGAATATTCATCAACATTCCTGTCACCAATAGCATACCCATGTTTTACAGGCCTGTAGATTGAGAACAGAACATCCCACAGTGATGGCGGGGTATCAATCGATCCGGCTTGAGCAGACCTGTATGTTTATGTATCTCCAGAAACGGCGATTTCAGTCAGTGATTTCACCCACAGCCCAGCTGCCCCGGTACCGGGGGCGTCTGTTTTCAACAGGTTAATTCGTCCAGTTCAAACATCAGAACTTGAGAATTCAAGTCTAGTCACTTACAGTGATGACCTGGCTGAATGTCCAACTGATCTTTTACTTAACTCATAAAATTAAGTTTGATTATTGATTGTTAGCATAGGTCCCAGCATGCATTTGGGTTTTACTGCTGCAGGAAGCCTTAATTTTTCTTATTTGATGAAAGTTAGAAGATGGAGGGTTGTTATGCGGTCCACAAATGAGTCACATGGTCTTCTGTCTTTTGTCACTGCGCGTGTCATTTACATAAAAACAATTAATGAAGAAATTGTTTGAACTATTCAATGCTAGTTGAGTTAAAAGGCAGTCTGTAAACTATTGTTTTATGTTGGAACAATTTGACACTGTCAAATTGTTCTGCGCACCATCAGGGTCACATTATAACATTCCAGCTGTGCTCTATATCACTTTTGCCTATAGAAAAGAACCACCAGGGGTTCAAGACAAACACATGAATTAAAGGTCGTTTTCATGAATTATTCTGGACCCATGCCCAGATGTTGAGAACATCTTTTATTTTAGCCGGAAATTTTAAGCTTAGTCATCAACGTGTCCCATCTGTGCTGTGTTTAAACGAAGCATCCCGGGACTGTGAAGGTTAAGAGAGGATGAGCACAATGAGCACTTTCCCATTAGAGACACAGATCAGAAAGAGAGGGACGTAGAAGGAGTGAAACGGAGGCGGTGAGAGACTGATTAAAGACAGTCGGATGAAGTGTCCAGTGTTTGAGAGAGAGAGACTGAAAAGGGGAGGAGGGAGAGAGAGAAATGAGGTGGCTTATCTTTGGCTG